ACAGGAGGTCACACGCGGGAGAAAAAATGTCTGATTTGACGCTCACAAATATTCCATTTTGATGGGTATGGTTCTAGAATTGATGGTAAGTTTAGCATAGGAAAATATATGCCTACTTCAAGTCATCTATTAAAAAAAGAAAAACTGCTGCCCGTGCTCAGAGTTAGGTCTTGGTTGGGGGAAAGGTAACTTTAAATAAACTCCTGTTTTTTCAAATATGGATTTAAATATTTTTACCCGGCCTTTAGTGGGAGTATTCTCCAATTGATAGTCGGTAACAAATTGCGCGGCGATCGGCGTAAAATAACCGGTCACCGGCTATTAACAAGAACCCAGCCCTGATAGATATATATTATATAGTATAGTATAGATATATACAAGCAATGAGGCTCACAACTACCCAAGCGACACCTGGCCGCACCCTAGCTACTAACCACAAATATTTACAATATATGATCAAGCACCGAGTTAAACAAGCATCTGTGGCTAGCTGTTAGTATTACCATTCCAACAAGCAGAACTATATATATATACAAGAATAGCTCACAACAAATTAACACGCTGCCTAACCACAATATTTACAATATTTACACGGTAACTATATAATAATGACTATATAGTTGTTGTTGTTGTTATAATATCAATCATGACTGTGTATATAATAAATTAATCATGTGTGATCATGTGGTATTTAATTGTCATATTTGCTTTCTTTCAGGGATCGAGACATTGCATAAAGAAGTCGCTAATAATTCATACATGTTGTGACACTGTTGCGCTGTTCAGTGCGGCAACACGAAGCTGGTTACAAACCCCAGCCAAAATAGCTTCGATGTGGCGGACAGCGGCCATGATTAGTGGCATGAAATAGTTCTCAGGCGTGTTCACTCTTACATAATTAACTTCTTATTGGGGGGCAGCTGCAGACTTGCTGCCCTTGAAACCTCCACTGATAATCATTTTTTTAAGAACGGCATGCTTTGCGTGAGCATTGAGTCTAATCATTCCATGTAACGCCTAACGAATCTTCTCTCCATCCCCACTTTAAACAGCATCCTGGAAAAAGAATTGCAAGTCCGCTGCTTATGTGGGCATGAGGCGTGACACTGGATCACGCTATCTGCCTCAAGAGTTGATATAGGTTTGCCTGAAGGCGAACTCCGATTGTCTCCAGAACTGCAAAATACAGCAGGTGCGCGGATGTAACAGCTTTCCGTAATAATTTTATGATGTACGGGGTGTAGTAAAAGCAGCGTCGTCTGTTGGGCTGGAGCTCTTTGGCAATGGTATTTTGCGCAAAAGCACTTACATTTAATGTTTTGCAGCTCCTTGTATAAACAACATATAAGTATCACGAGACTATATGTATATATGGCATTGGGACTTATCTATGCTACGGAGAATGCACTAATAAGTTGCTCCCACCAAAACGAGCCATCTGCAGGATGACAATGCATCTGTACTACGATCGGTTTTAGCATGTACACGGTTATATACCCATCTGCAGAGAGAGAAGAGTTAGACTTTATTATGATCAGGAAGATTGCTCGCAATCATACATCTATTCCCGCAATTTGATAGCACAAAAATTTGTTAATGCAATGAATTGGGAACAAGTACAATTATTTTTAGAGTGTTCGCCGCTGAAAGGACTACTTGGCCGGTAGGTCGATCAGGTTTCCATTATAGTAATACCGTACACTGATAAACATATAATAATAATAATAGTCTTACCGGTGTAGATCGTGACATGGCTCATTCACACAGCACTACCTAGTGAACATTTAGCAGCATTACTGTTGAAGAGCCTAGGTTTTTACACCTTGTACAACGCCGCTGACAAGAAATTATTTATCCAGGGCATCTTGATCAGTCCTCGCGGGGAGCAAGTATTTGAAGCTGCCGTTGATGCTAGCGTCTTCCCGGAGACTCCAGAATCGTTTGCCGAGGTCATTAACGGATTCCAACTCTGGCACTGGCTCCATCCAGGCTTTTGGAAGGTGAGGTCCTTTAGCCAATCTCCATAGCCATGCTGCACAGTGCTGTTTCCGTCTTTATCTGCAGAACCTGGCAAACCAAAGGTGTTTAGCAAAAATAAAGAAATTATTAATTTTAAGGCAGAATAATAAGCAACTAGTACGATTCTGGCAGCACAGGATAACTCCAGCGGGAAGCGCGCCAGACTGGCCGCCCTGCGGCACGCTTTCACAACATCGCGTGGACCTGTGATTTACACTTCAATCGGGGTCTCTGGTATGCGCCAAAGCCGTATTGTTCGTTGAGTTGAGGCATTTCTCGGGCCCGATTGACGACCTGAGTTGTCAACTACCCATGTAGGGCTTGAGAACTTGCATTGAAATGCTCGTATAAAACTTTGTTGGGCAGACAGTCGGCGGCCTTTGGTTTTGGCTGGTAAAAACGCAGACTTTGACTTTTTGTTCACATTGTAACAATGATAATAGCGCTCCTCGCCGCCGTAGCGTTGAGCACAAAAATTATCACAACATAGGAGCATTAGGGAGGATCGATTATAGGATACATCATGTTTATCGCTATTGCATTAAGTTACAGTTAGTTTGGATTGTCAACTTTTCTGTCTTGTAGGGCATTGCTGAGTGGTTCAACTATCAATGATAGCAAGTAAAAATGGTTGAGATGTCATATCATAGAAACATGTGCATCATATTGTTATAGCATATGTCCTTGTTGAGACACAACCACGCGCCTTACATTGCCCATGGTTAAGGCAGGAACCGGAGATGATCATAGATGATTACTTAAGCAGTATCGCCATTTAGAAGAGGAGGACATAAAAAACTTATATGGCATGAAATGCTCGCAGCATGATGTTGGCGCCAGGAACTGACCAAATCGGTGCGTACAGATAAGCTCATGAAAGAACATCAACAAAAACCCCACACTCACACGCGAAATCTATTAATTGGGACACGCATTATCACGTCTTAATCATAGACCTCAGCAGGCTCACAACCACATGTGGAAATCTGTAAAAGGCAACTCCACTTTCTTGTAAATAATTAAACATTTTGCTGTACCTGTGTTATGCGGTGAATATTATAATTATACTACGAAGATTTACTAGGGCGAAGGCATACAAACGATGTATCCAGTTAAAATTATTCACACATATTATATTATATAGACGGCAACATTACGCGACGGCACGCGCTTTCCATTAGTGGAAAGTTCGCCTTTAGCCTTTCATGCTGAGACGGTAATCCTTCATTTGCGCACATTATATTATATTATCTAGACATAACTCATGGGGCAATAAGAGAGACAATACCCCAAGAAACATTTTCAAGGACTGCAATCAAAGTAATAAAATGTATAGTAGCTAGCCAATATATTATTTGGGATGTAAACATTGCTAAATAGACAGACTTGTCGTGGGTATGGATGGTGAAGTTTGCAAGCTCACCGTTGTCAAAATTCTAATAAAAGACCTTGTTTCAGCTCGGCCTTATACAACTATAGTGAACCTCCAGTAACTCAGCTCTTTTCGGGCTTCATTGAGTTTCGATCTTTTGCCCGCCAGCGTCACATGTATGATTCGTGGTCTGTAATTCCTGGGTGAAATCAAGGTTTTCATAACCGAGAGGGGCAGATGCTGGGCGAGCGTAGATGAAAGTGGTAGGTCAGCGAAGCTCTGAACGGCAGATTAGTCATAGGGCCAGCTTCGTCCCTACTGCGGCACGACGGACTTTGGGCATTGATTTTATTTATGTGTCGATGAGCTCCAGGGGAATACACGTTTTGCTGAATTCCTATGAAAAAAAAAGAAAAAGAAAAGCTATTGGGGTCATAAAGCAAAGACATGAATTATAGCTATAAAAAATCTCTCTTAGAGCACTTGAAAGCCCCGATTGTTAGGGCACCGAAATGTTTCAGGTGTTGAAAAACAAAAATGATTGATCCTTAATCTTTGAAGATGCATGGTTACTTTTGGAAGTTTAATTTAAACAAGTATACATATTCCTTACCTTAGGCAACTCCAGGGCAGCCAATTGATCCTGTGTTAAAATGCCTTTGACACTCTGTTTTACAGTTTCCAGTTTCCTTTTAAGACACAGGTTCTGTAAGTATATACATAGAAATAAGAAAATAGCAATGTAAACTTTTTTTCTATTCATAATATATTTTACCGCTAAAAGATTTAATTTTGCTAACCGCATAAGATCTGTATACTCGGCCTCTTCTATATCTCAGTCATTTAAATGCAGCAAAATAGATTTATTAATATAATATTAAAATACCTGTCTTTGTAGCCTACGAATTTCCAGCTGTTCTTTTGTACTACATTCAGGAATGCAAGTGAAAGTTGCTGCATCATTACTTGGATCACCGCATGCATCTGACGTTGCATTCTTCCATAGTGTTTACGTGCATAGCCGTGGTCACTACCTGTGCAGAAGTAAAGAAGAAAAACCATTTCATAGCAATTATAGTTGTTAGAAAACTTTTATTTATTATATCGAATATTCCAATTATATTGAACCTTATAATTATTTAATTGATAGAAAAAATATTACACACTGGAAGTAGGTATTGCCACAGCTACTTGTGCTGTCTTTTCATGCGCTGTCCCTGAGATTTTCTTTGGTGGGTTAGGCACATCAAAAAGAGTGGGGATGGCATCATGCTTCAGCTTCTTCCACCCATCTTTTCTGCTCTCGTCTCAAATTGAGAGTCTTCAAAGTGGACCTTGAATAGCAATCCTACTTATGTAACATTATACATGTGTATATCTACGCTGGAACACGTGTGGTATCCTGATGTGTAAATTGAAAAAGACCAGTAGACTATAATTTGTAATCGTTTAGTGGCCCCGAAACGTACGTAAGCAATGTAAAGTAGTAGAAGAGGAAGCTACGTAATAGACGCGTCTACACATGTCGGGTTTGCATTTATATACGTTGTATGATTAACCGATTATCTGATTATAATCGATAATCGATTGTGTACCACTGATAATTGAAGTTGTTTTATGTACTTACCTGACAGAGTTTGGCATTTGGTGTAGGATTCCATGCCTTGCCATTTCTTCCACTCCTTCTCGTGTTTATTCCCCATCGCTTTCTCCTATTGTCATCAGCTGGGAAGATGACCATGCGAAATCTTTTGCTTGGTCTGTTTGTGCAGTTCGGTGCGGAACACCCAGTCATCTTTTTAGTACTTATACCCAATACATTATTTATCTACTATAACCGACTGATTAGAAGTGCTCTGTAGACTGTATGTCGTTTGATTTATTCAATGCTAACAATAAAATATTTTGCCTCGATTAGGTTATAATGTGTTAGAAATCAAACTTAGGCTTACGTTGACAATGTAACTGTTATATATCTAGAGTAGATGGTATAGGGCTTATTAGCGTCGTTTTCCTAATATTTCTTGTCGTATTTACTATTTGTAAATAAACTGGCAACAGCTTGTAAAAATGTATGACTAATGTATTTTATAGCTATTTTTAATTAAAATTATGCTATGTGTTACATTAAAAACTGTCTAAACTATAGGTTTATATCTTATATAATGTCTATTTAGTCATATTTAGTGATATTATTACCAGTAAGACTTCCAAATCGAATTCTCTGTGTTGTATATGGTTATGGTAATACACGATCGTCTGCACAGCCGTTTCAGCTGATTATGGTCCATAGATGGCGCCCTTGAGGCGAAACGCGCACAGCCAATCCGCTTCCTCGCCTTGTTAATATATAGCAAAGATCCTAGAGTGCACGGCACTATCACAGGCATGTATCCGTTAGTCTGTGTCACTATAGAGCCTACGGCACTATACCATCTTTGATATATAGCTCCTTGCCTGTTAGGTTAGAGGATGTGCACGTAAATTATTTTTGAAATGGCGGCGAAATCGACACGAGGAAACTTCTGAGCGTGCAAGTTTTGGAGAATATAGCGAAGAAGGGAAGTTCTAAGATATTTCATCATTACTCTAGACAGTTGCTGTTACTCAAGCAATAACGGTAAGTATCGTAAACGTAGAGATAACACAAGATTGGTTAGAAATTAGTTTCAAAATAATGGCTTTGAATTTGATAAGCCAGTCGTTGGCAGTGGCGGCCGTTCGGAGTTTCACGACACTAGTTCCAAGAAACGGTCTTGCTAATCACTGTATTACAAGACCGTTTCAAACATTGACTGCAGTTAAACTCTAGGAATGTCACAACAATTCTGAACATGTAACTAGGCTGTTATTGGTATGAAATTATTTCGATTTGATTATTGAGATTTTTGTTTTCGATATTTCGATCCGATCGGCGATTCGATTTAATATGTAATAATACTAATACTATTACTAGTATTAATACTAATAAAACATGATGTAGCAAAAGATAGATGGTGTTTTTTGTTGTTATTTGAGTAGGCGATGTAAATGGTGTTTTATTGTTTTGATATGGGAATGCAATGCATCTACAAATTGACACAATATTATTAAACTTATAAGGACACGTTATTAACGCACGAAAAAGGGTGTTTCCAAGAGTAACGCACACGTACTGCACAGAATATTATACCCGCAGTATTGTTAGGTTTTTAATATTATGGCCTATATTTTTTGAGGTAACATTATGGATATTTTAGGTTAGGGTCAGGGTATAGAAGTGTAGGAGTAGGCTTAAGAGTTAGGTTAGGTAGTGTTGACGGGTTAGGGGTACACTTCTTAGTAGCAAGTCTGGGTACACTTTGTGTAGTTAGCATATATGTATGCGCATCGTATCATAATCTGTAGTAACCTGATTTCGACAACCGACCCGTTGAAGCGTTATTTAACCGACCAGAGCTGCTGTGACTAACATCAAATACACGCGCGCCTGACATCCACCACATGTGAAAAATTCTGTAGCTTGAGCAAAAAACTACCTAACATTACGTAATCTCAAATAAAAATGATACCATGTAGAGCGAGTGTCGAGCCTTGTTTTGTATCAAATATAAACCTCACGATTATAGTATTCCAGCGTTGTTATTAAAACTAATACTGCAGTTTGCTGCTGCCAGAATGTAAAATTCAAGAGCCCAAACCGAAATTTCACCATAACCGCCAACCGCCATGTTTGCGAATGCGCATCGATTCAGAACGGCCACGCGGAAAACCGATAACGACATAAACATCACCATGAGCGATCTGCTACATTGCGTTGGGCCGCCGAGCATAAAAGAAGCATCATAACACTTCGTAATAATATTATAATATTAAAACATTGAAAACCAGTAATCGCAATCCCTACAACAACTTAATAATTATCCAATTGCGAAGATATGGTATCTTCTGCGTTGTATTTTGCCTACGCACATGTGAAAATCAGGTCCATTGCGCGATTTAGTGCACTGAACATGGCAAGACAATGGCGCTGTCTGACATCTGGCAGCGGGATGCGCGCGCAACTGCGTCAACGTCTTGCACCCTAGTGCGCACTCTTACTCAAGGCAATACGCTCGCTTTTTACCCAACGCAAGTATTCGGCCCGGTCCATTCTTAGGTATAGCGTGAAGCGCGGCTTTTTCGGCTGAATTGACATTCTGCCTCATTGCACGAGGGAATGCTCAACCTACCGTTATGTAAGAGACTGCTAGAACATGCTGCTAAATTTCGCTAGGCTACTAAGCGCCTTCTTTTCTGTAATAACGGAGTTTTTTTGTGACATTGTAACAATATATACGCTCCTGCGTAGCCGTTGAGTGCTGATTTAGTGATAGCATATAGAGGGATTCGTCTCCGCGTATTGTCAGTCCAATAATTACAGTTAGTTCATTGTCCATCTGTTATCTGCTATTGTATCTCGGCATAGTACACTCCCCCATCAAACTAAAAGATATACTCTAACATGTGGCAAGAAATGCCCTAAACTGTCGAACCAGTCGGAAGCTTGAACTGTAAGTGTTCCCGTAAAATTCCCGGGTGGCAATTCCGGCAGTGCTCCGACTAGGACGCCTAGCCCCCCCAAGGATAGAGAACATATCGCCAATAACAAACGCAATTTGCGCTACGTACTGCTGATCTACAGCACCGTACTCTACTATATAATAATATACTAACACGATCCGCCAATGCGACATTGCGAATTGTATCGCACACCTACAATACGTCTATACCTACAACTAACACAAGTACATGTATCAATAATACTATTAGTAGTAAGTACTTAGCTTAGTAACTCATTGACTGACGAATTACTCCAGGACTAAGCTAGTCTATCAGTATACAGTAACTCAAGTACTAGTCTACTAACGCTAGGACTAAATAATGACAACAGCTGTGTTACCCGTACTAAAGTAAGATTACATTAATCATAAAAGACTGACTGCCGTAATGTATCTAAGACATCGCCTACAAATATCTAAACTATAATGCTAACTAATATACGAATCATATATTACTAGCAACTTCTTCATGGTTCTATATGCATAGCGCTAACTCTCTTTTGACCTATTTCCGATTTCCTATAAAATTCCTCGATATCCTAAACGTCGGCAACGTACGCTGCCGCTGCCATTGCTCTCGCGCCGATCGTGCACGCTTACACTAAATCACTATATAGCAGGTAGAAAGCGTGCTGCAAAATTACTCGGTCGATGCCCACTCTCATTATGACACCTTTTCACTCACACGAATTACACATTCAACAGCTTCTGCATCTTTTTTTTCTCACTTGAACAACAGTACTCACATCTGTTATAAACATAAATGTCTCTTTCGTAAGCCGCGAGCTGTGTCATGCGAAAGTCAACAGCAGACTTACGAAATCTGTGCGTTCGCATAGGCGACACGCATTTGCCCAGTAATGGAATGGCTGTCACCGCAACACTGCGTCAAACGTTGCATACGTTTTCCCAATGGCGAGGCCGTACTAGTTTGGAAACAGTGCCTTGCCGCCTGCACGCGCTCAGCCTATAGCCCATAGACTGGTCACCGCTTCCACCTCTCGCTAGCTAGTCACTGTCGCATGGTAACGTCGAGTGGCGATGAGTCCAGTCTATATATCCTTTGTCGCTTGCAGACCATTTCCATTACTGGGTCAGGTCGGCGAACCGCGAAAATTTCGCTCAACTTCTGTGATCCTATCGCGTGGACACAGCTAGGTTACAACAGAACACTAGTTTTATAACAATGAACACTGATTTCACGCCCACATGTCTGCCCTCTGTGTCCCCCACTAACAATTGGGACTGTTCCGCGTTGGCAGCTATGAGTAGCGTTCGGCCGCATAACATTCGGCGCACGATCCATAGCTGCCACCAGTTCCATACTGTCCGTAGGACGTCCCCAGCGTCGCTTGCGCCATTGCCGCGAACTGCGGCGCGAAGATCTTGCGCCTCAGCACTTTGGGCAAGCAACCTCTTTCGGCAAACTGCTTCTAAGCTATTATCCGTCTCATCACTGTTGTCTTTGATTCCAATTCATCCAAAGAAAAACGGCATAACCAATAAATAAAGTAGCTCGCCCCGTAGCGCGCCAGTTACTAGCGAGCAAGCCAGAGTTTTATTTATATCTCTTTTACTATTACATGTGACCTAGTGTGTCCATGGCTTGGAGTACCGCCAACTACAAGGAATTTGGCAAGAATCCTGAAACGTAATTCTATCACCTAGCAATACCGGTTCTTGGACTAGCCTGTTATACATATCTTTATGCTCCTATTTACACAGTTACGAGCGATATTTCGTATGTAATAACTAATACTAGTAGTAAAAGAAAAATATCTAATAAAACATATGATGTAGAGCAAAAAATAGAGTGTCTTCTTTTGTTGTTTATTAGTGTAGCAATTGTAGTGTTGTGACCTTGTTTTTGTAATCAGGAAGCAGCATTGATCTACAACTATTATAGGTACTTATAAGCCTTAATAATATCGTTTATTATCTCTTATACACATTTACAGCCGATTTCCCGTGGTGGATGGTGTAATACTAAACTAAAGTATAATACTAATAAAAACCATGATGGTATCGAAAAGATAGATGTGTTTTTGTGTTAGTTGTAGCATTGTAGGTTTCTTAATTGTTTGTCTGGAATGCCAATCCTTTGACTACAGATATTATAAATCTTACTAAGGCCTGTTAATATATTCTTATCTCTTACAAGTTTAACGCAGCGCCGATTTTCGATTTGTCAACTGCCCCATCCCATTGTCTTGGGGAAACCAAAACATTCCGACTCAATGACTTCATCCTTCGCTTTCTGAGCCTGAATAAAACGAATAACTTTTTATCAGGCAGGCATATGAACAGGGATGAATCTTCCGCGGAAATCTGCGGATTTCACAGTCCCAGGGTCGATTTTGTGAAACGTCTAAATCCATTGAGAGAAAATTTTAGGGGGGGTTAGAATGTACAAATTTTCATTTTACAGTTCAACAGTACCTTTATTTAATAACATTGTAATATAGTTCGCTTTACAATATAGACACGGCTTAGTT